AAAAAAAAAAAAAAAAAAAAAAAAGAATCACGGCTTTAGTTTTATTCTCTTACTCTGGGTCATTTCTCATTCCCCTAAAAAAGTGTCTCCAGAGTCATCATGTAAGCTAATGGAAAGCATGACAATTTTCAAGGATTTTATGAAATTTGAAAAAGAAAGAAAAGTAACACTTTAACATCCCCCTTCTCCCCTCACATACTTCCAAAGAAACTGAAGTCTCTAAGGCAAAGCCAAGAAATGTGACTCAGATCGAATGAGGTCAGATGCCCTGGGCAAAGAACAGAGAGCACTTCCATGACCACATAGGCCTGTTTAATAGCTGGAAATCACAACAGCATCCCTTGACCAACTCCAGGCAAAATACACCGCATACACTATGTCTTACATTAGAGCAATGCTGTATTCTAATGCCCAGTCCACACCTGAGGAGACCCAAAAGAGACAACTGTCCCAAGGTCACACAAGAGCAGGGAGTCCAGCTCTTGACTGGTGTGCATACTTGTCCCACTGCTTCACCACAGAGTCGGCAGCCACATCAGCACACACACTCTCATGCCCCTGGTGCCTGGGACACCACGTGATGCAACACAACATGATCCAACAGTGACTGTGTGCACAGGTCAAAACACACTCTCCTCCTCTATGTGAGGCTCATAGACTGCACTCAGGGAATTAGACTGGGCAGCAAATCTCTCTCTCTCTCTCTCTCTCTCTCTCTCTCTCTCTCTCTCTCTCTCTCTCCCTCCCTCCCTCCCTCCCTCCCTCCCTCCCTTCTTCCACCCCTCTCTCCCTCCCTCTCTCTCTCCCTCCCTCCCTCCCTCCTTCCCTTTCTCCCTTCTTTCCTTTTTTTGGTAGTCCCTCCACTCCCTCAAGACAGGGTTCCTTTGTGTAGGCCTGGCTGTCCTGGAACTTGCTCTGTAGACCAGGTTGGCCTCAAGCTTAGAGATCCACCTGTCTTTGCCTCTCAAGTGCTAAAACTAAAGGCATGCGCCACCACCGCCTGGCCCAAAGTTATGTTCTTAAAGCACCATTTGATGATGCTTCTCCAAAGAAAATAATTCTAAAAAGAAGAATGGGGAATTCAGAGAATCCTTATGTTTTAGCTCTAAACAGAGTTACTGTCACTATCTCAAATCACGAGTATGGAAAATCAAGAATCCAACTCTGGCTTCTGTAAAGTCAGAGCTAGCAAAAGTGACAGAGGCCAGTTCAAGCTAGTAGTGCCCAAAGTATTCACCCTGACTCTCTCTGGCTTTGCTAGGTTGGAGTTAGACCCAAGATATGAGAGGGCCAGAGACATAAAGCATATACAAACAGGTCCCAGGCAGGATTGTGTGACTCATGCACAGGGGTACAGTTACTTTCTTCATTATTGATGGCTAAAGCCAAAGGTCTTCTCAGCAGAACCATGCTCCTGCACAGTCAGCTGGCCTCCACAGTCCAGTTCACCAATAAGATTCCAGAGCAGATAATACAAGAAGCAAGTAATCTCAATAGCCATATGGATGCCTATTTGCATAATTGTCACTCCTTCTTAAGTACAGATGAAATAACCTTACTTTATCTCCTAGGAAAGTTACAACTGAGTTTTGCATACAAACTCATATTTAATTGTATGCTTGTTTAATAAGTTTCTATAAGTGACTTAAAAAACCAAAATGTAATTTACAAACAAGATGGTGCACACCTTTAATCCCAGCACTTGAGAGGCAGAGTCAGGAGGGTCTACAGAGTGAATTCCAGGCCAGTCAAGGATACACAGAGAAACCCTGCTTTGAAAAAAAAATTTTTTTCCCCAACACTGATAACCTAAATGAGTTTCCCAGGGAAATGGTAAACAATATTCTAGCAAATTTAATTTGCAAAGACATGAAAATGCACTGTGTGAAACCAATCTTATTCTTGCATACCCTACATCGAACAGTCATCAGTCCTGTCCTTGGCACTCACGACCTCAGCCAGAACAGGTGCCTCTTCTCCAACATAGACTTGCAAGTGAGCTCACCTCACTCAGCTAAGGAAGGGCCTCCCGCCAGAGAGAGGCAGGAGACACCACTCAGGTCACAGCCCCCTCTGTCCCCGGGCTCAGCTCTCAGGGCTCACATCAAGCACCACCCACCCAGCCCTGGCTCCTGACTACCTGGAATGGTAGTCCGGATCTGCCACTCTCTTATGACCTTGCACAAGTCACTCAACCTCGGCACCTCCATGCTTCGCAGTCAGCTGAAGATAATCACTGTATCTTCCTTATAAGGTGGGATGGTTATATGAAAAGGAGAAGGAAATGCTAAAGGAGAGGGGAGAGCTACAGAACACTAATAGAAAAAGCAATAGGGGAACATGTTATGTTTACTTAAAAAATACATATATATACATATATATACATATATACATATATATAGGGCTAGAGAGATGGCTCAGTGGTTAAGAGCATTGACTGATCTTCCAGAGGTCCTGAGTTCAATTCCCAGCAACCACATGGTGGCTTATAACCATCTGCAATGGAGTCTGATGCCCTCTTCTGGTGTGTCTTAAGAAAGCAATGGTATGCTCATATACATAAAATAAATCTTTTAAAAAATACTTATATCAGTGTATGTGTACACATATATAAATAATTTAAGTGAAGTTCTTTGAGGTGCTCATGCTCTCCCTAACAGCCATAGACTATCTAAACAAACACCCCAGTGAGCTCATCACGTTCAACTAAGGAAGGCACTCCAGCCAGAGAGAGGGCCAGACATGAGAACGTATCCTTCAAATTATTGGTCATGGGAGTCCATGAAACTTCTCAAACAATACAAGCTATTTCCAATGCCTTTGGTTGTCTCCCAGAACTTAGAGACAAGACATATTACCAAAGACACCACGTACTTCAGACATAGAGCAGTTGGCGGAATCTAGCTGGACTGACCTTTAAGCCTCACCCCTGAGGACTAGCACTTACAGTATTTGAAATGCTATGTAAGCTGCCAAGGGAGAAAAACAAAAGTCCTACTCAGCTGTAAAGCCTACAAACGACGACAAAGACCATCATGGCAAGATACACCCAAGGGTTTGATGGTGGCACTTATATTTTAGGAATAACCAACAGCCACCTCACTGGACTCAAGGCCCACTTCATAGCAGAGAATTCCTACCAGCCTTGTACACCTAGCCAACTACCCATGTCTGGTGAGATCATGGACCCGACAGGACAACTACTACTGTCAATCTTCTAAACCAGCAGAACTCCCAACTGAACTCTAAATACCCATCTTTATACCCACAGTGTAGATCTTACCCCTTACCCACAGTCATAGGATCTTTTTTACAGCAGGTGGACACCATTGCAGAAAGCCACAACTTAATCAAAATGCAGAGAACAGCTGACAGTAGGATAGCAGTCCCAGCTGATGCATCTATAACACAGCTCTACACCTAAGGCTCAAGGATCATCTATAACACAACCCCACACCTAAGCCTCGGGGATCATCTATAACACAACCCCACACCTAAGGCTCGGGGATCATCCATAATACAACCCCACACCTAAGGCTCAGGGATCATCCATAACACAACCCCAC